CTATTCTATTCTATTCTATTCTATTCTATTCTATTCTATTCTATTCTTCTAGTCTAGTCTATTCTTATTCCATTCCATTCCATTCCATTCCATTCCATTCCATTCCATTCCATTCCATAATTTCTATTCTATTCCATTTTCTATTCTACTCTACTCTACTCTACTCTACTCTACTCTACAGCAGTCTTTCAGTATTTGAGGGGCTGCCCCAGAGAGGGAGGGATCCATCTATTTTCCGAAGCAACAGAAGAGAAGGCACGAAACAACGGATGGAAACTAACCAAGGAGAGAAGCAACCTGGAACGAAGGAGAAACTTCCTAACAGTGAGGACAATTAACCAGTGGAACAGCCTGCCTCTAGAAGTTATGGGTGCGTCATCACTGGAGGCTTTTAAGAAGAGCCTAGACAGTCACATGTCTAAAATGGGATCGGTTCTCCTGACTGAGCAGGAGGCTGGACTAGAAGACCTCCAAGGTTCAGTTCAGTTCCAAATGATGTGCCGAGGAAGGGAAGAACACCCTGTGCGATCGGACACCCTTCAAAACCAAGCCCGCAGGGAACCCTCGACTTACGAGCGTTCATTTAGTGACCGTTCGTAGTTACACCGGCCCTGAAGAAAAAAAAGGACCCACAGCTGTTTTGCATGCTTACCGCTGCAGCATTCCCACGGTTGTGGAATCAAGATTCAGATGCTGACTTGTACTTACGATGATTGCGGTGTCGTGTGAGTGTGTGCGTGTGCGCGTGTGATGTGATTCGTTTTTGCGACCTTCCGACAAGCAACGGGAGAAGCCGGATTCACTGACCGACGGTGTGATGCATTTAATTACAATCGTTCCGTTAAAAACTGTGAGAACAGAAGGTCGTAAAAAGTGGGCAGTACTGGACAGATGTCTCACTTAGCGGTGTAACTCTGGGGCTCAACTGCCGTCATAAGTCGAGGACCACCTGTACCCCAGCTGAGGTAAAGCTCTCCCTTCTTGAAGAGATCGTGACCAGAACTGTATGACAACCTGCTCAGGGTATTAAGGCTTTCATATTTATTTATGCTTACGAGGGAGCTTAATCCAAGGATTAAGGCGGCATTATCTCTGCTCCAGAGGGAATTAGGTCAAAGTAAGAAGCCGAGGAGGAAAGCGGGATCCAAGAGCCTGATGTGGCGGAGACGGGGCTATTTTGGCCTCCGTGGGAAAAAGAAAGAAAAAACGGCCGGTTAATCGACTTCGCAGATAAGAACAACACAATATCACCCCCAAAGGGGCTTTTCACTCCCTTCTTTTTTTTCCTTCTTTGAAAATGTTTCTCCTCATCCAAGAAATTTCTTGGGTTTTAACTCAAGTGCCTCGGATGGGAGCTTTCAAAGGAAAAGTCAAGAAAGTCAAGTTGCCTTTTGAAAAAAAAAAAAAGAATAGAACAGAAAAGAATCTTGAGAATAGAATCTTTACTGGGAATAGAATAGAATCTTTATTGGGAATAGAATAGAATAGAATCTTTCTTGAGAATAGAATAGAATAGAATAGAA